ATCGGCACCAGTGCTTCCTCTACAGGCTTTAAAAGTGCACCAACAAGTACATGATATCTCAATCCAAGTCACCTGCTGTGCCTTCAATGTCGATGCACTTGCAATCAAGCTCATGGGCAGGTCTTCAATCTTGAGCCTGGTACCCGATTCCTTATATTGGGCAAGGCCATTTTCGGGAATCTATAGTGCACATGTACTAATGCAGCCAGGGCTCCACATCGGGTACCCGCACTCTCTCAGGGGTCTCCTGGATTGAATTATTGTGGCAGTCACCAAGCTCCACTAAACCACTCCCTCACACGATGTCCTTCTGAGATTCATCACTGTCACTGTCAATGAGCATATACTCGTCTGCAGTCGAAGGCTCCACAGCCTGCTGCAGGACTCAATTAATGTAAAACATTCTGCCCACTATTTATAAACCAACCAAACCCCTTATCCTAAACAGGCGCCTGGTCATGCGAACTGACATCGGGACATGGGCAACCGGTATCCACAGCCTGGCCGTCCTTCACACATTGCAACATCTCAAAAACCCCTTTCAAAATGTAAGCTTCTACTGAACCTGGCATCCGATCTCGGACGATGCAGTCGGGCCCTCATCACCCAGAGCCTTAGGTTCACCGGATGAATCTAGCACTGTTTGGATCACCTTCAACAACCCCCAAAACATGCAACCTAGATGTGCTGCATGCAAGCTCAAGAACTTCAGCATCTTCCTCATCTGAGAAAATTTCGAAGATGTCATCTCCAAATGTGCTCGGCTGCTCATCATCGTCAGCGTCTTCATCGATCACCTGCCGAGCTGAATGATACATATATATATATGTACATTGCATGGAAAGCATTAAATAGCACACAAACTAGCAGAAGCACCTGGCCTCTGAGCTCATGCTAGAGTCCGACAACTTTCGCTGTGGTCTCTCGGGCATGGGGCGATCATTCACTGCCATGTAGATGCCTTTCAGGATGCAAAGTTCCTCTGTCCTGAATTTTGCGTGGTCATGGAATCGATGAACAACACCCTAGCTCGATCATGATCGAATAAAGCTTGCATTGATGACATGTGTGTGCAGTCCTTGCGAATGCAGTGCGATTGACACTGTGCACAACATAGGAGGCGAGCCAGCGGAGGCGAGTTCCCTGAAGATCGCCCCACTCTTTAAAGGCAGCCTTTGCGCCCGGCTGCTTGCCAACAGTCACAAAGTTGTACGCCAAAGCTAAGTAGCAAAGGGCAGCCCGGTGCTCTTTGCAGGAAATAAGATCTTTCCGTTCATTCACCCCACGGAAGAGGTGAGCAGCATAGGCCTTCATGACTTCAAAGTTTTTGGGGCAGCTCAAGTCCTCCTTCACGACCCGTGTCTCCAAGACGTTCACCACCCGGGCCTCCTATATATAAGCATTCATGATCAAGTAAAACCCATACCTGCGCACAAACGTGAACATGCACATGGAATAGATTTCCAAGTTGAGTCGCTTTGTCATTCTTCAATTCGGCCAGGCGGGACTCCACATGGACTCGCAGGGCCGACACGATGCGCAAAGCTGCATCCTAAGCTTGTATTCTTGCTCGATCATGATGGTGCAACGATGCAACACTATTATGTTGAAGCCCAGTCTCACTCACAAAGAAGCGGACAGGTCGCAGAACCTGTTTCCCGTGCACCACAGCACCAGTTGTGCTACACCGGCGCACCCCATCCAGGAACTTGAATCCTGACTCGCTCGCCATGCCTATATCAGATGTAGATCTGCAAGTATATGCATGCATGCACCCATCTCTTCCGGACCTCTGCTGTGTGCAGTGCAGATATTCGCATACCTTCTGTACATGTCTAGACTACACATCTGCCAAAGCACACATTCTCATGAGCCCCGAAAACTGGCATGCAGAATGCAGCACAAACTCATGATCAGCAAAGGCATGTGCACAACCGGATCTCAGCTGATGCAGCTACAGCAGGGCAGAGCGAGGGTGGGCACACCTTCAGCCTTTCTCTTTGCATTACAGTGCATCATCATTGCCATAAGGCCCGGCATTGGAGAAATGCAAAAATGGAACCGAGCTCTTGCACATCACATGTGTACATGTGCACATGTTTACAAATAGAGTATGATGTGGGTTCACTATATGGAAGCTCATTAAAATGCACTCTGTCTAGTTCACACATTGAGCACCTTCTTACCATGCCTAGACATACTCGCTCGAGGTTCCCTGGGCCGGCGAACAACAATTGCACAGCTGCTTGGGCTAGCCCTGGTTCACACCGAGCTTGAAATTATTGAATCGAACATCACACCCAACCCACACACTAGTACTTGTAGCTACAAACACGGTTCACACCTACCTGGATCACACCCAACCCACACATATAGCTACAAACACAGACCCAAAGACACAAACACAGACACAAACCCACAGACACAAACACACACTCTCACTAGTAGTACTAGCATGCAAGTGCAAACACACACACACACAC